ATTAAATATTACATTTAATTCTTCTTTGGTGTGTCCCCCGTGTTAATTTTTGCATTTAAATTTATTTTATTTATTTATTTTTTAACACTTATTTTCATTTTATTTAAAACACTTGTATCCCACCTTTCCCGTGAGACTCGAAGTGACAACAAAGAAATAAAACGGTGTACAGAAATTACCACACAAAACCAAATCACAGTAAAACTTCCCCCAACAATGGCCTTGCCCTCCACACAATGCTCTCTGAAAGAGAACGTTCTTGCTTACCTTTTGTAAAGGAAGAAGGGAAGGTGCCTCCCATACCCGTTCTAGTAAACCATCCCATCGATCCAGACCCACTACAGAAAACACCCTTGTAATGGCAGTCACCTGCTGCCAGGGAGGGGCGCTGTGAGGAGAAAGTCCTCCGAAGAGCATAACTGGCATATGGGAATAGATCGTGCCATTGAATTCTTAGCAGTTGGAGTGCCCCAAGGGGCGGTGTTATCCCCAATGTTATTCAACATCTACATGCACCCCCTTGTCCAGCCCGGTACCTAGTCTACCGCTGACAGCCCGAGCCCACTGCTCAGATATGAGATGACCAACGAGCTGAACACACAGACTATCTATACAAAGTATAGTAAAGGTAAAGGTTCCTTTGCTCGAAAGCCAGTCGAATCCGACTCTAGGGTTGCGGTGCTCATCTCAGCACTGTCCGAAGACGTTTCCGTGGTCATGTGGCCGGCATGACTAAACACCAAGGTGCACGGAACGCTGTTACCTTCCCACCAAAGTGGTACCTATTTATCTACTTGCAATTTCTTGCTTTCGAAGTGCTAGGTTGGCAGGAGCTGGAACTAGAGACGGGAGCTCACTCCGTCATGCGGCACCCGGGTCTCGAACTGCTGAACTACCGACCTTCCACAGCCTGCAGTTCAGCGTCTTAACCACTTGAGCCACCGCAGCTATACAATGTATAGCGCCATCTATATGACAGGGAAACACCACTGCTAGCACTTTATATTGATATAGTATGATTTTCATGAATTGTTTTAGAAGTTTTGTGATATTTGAATGTTATTATGTTTTACTGTTGTAAGCCGCCTTGAGCCTGTTTAGGTGGGGTGGGAGGGGTACAAATTTGAATAAATAAATAAATAAATAAACAAATAAATAAATTCCTGGCTTGGAAAACCGTTTTCCTGGTGGCGATCACCTCTGCAAGGAGAGTCAGCAAACTGCTAGCTCTTCGGGCTGAGCCTCCCTACCTGTGTTTCTTACCAAATGGAGTGTGTCTGGTTCCTGATGTTTCCTTTCTACCAAAGGTTGTGTCTGATTTCCATCTTCACTCTGACATTTTTCTGCCAGATTTTTTTCCTAACCCTATGACTAATGAGCAGTGTCTCTTGCACACCCTGGACATGAAGTGAGCGCTCTTATTTTATCTACATCACACTAGGCCTACATGGCGCAATCCACATCTCTTCCTCTCCTATGCCCCGCGGAGGATAGGCACGAAGATTACTGCCCAGCGTCTCTCCAAATGGATTGTCGAAATGATCGGTCTTTGCTACTTTCTAACTAAACGCCCTCTCCCAGGTCCCCTTCGGGTGCACTCCACTAGGGCTATGGCTACATCGACAGCCTTCCTCAAGGGAGTTCCTCTCTCTGATATCTGCAAGGCTGCCACCTGGTTGACACCCAGTACCTTCATCAGACATTACGCCCTGGAAGTACGCTCCCAACAAAGGGCTCAAATGGGTCATCTGATCTTATCTTCTGCTGCACTTTGACCATCTGCCAGCACCCTCCTCCAGGTGAGCCGTTACTGCTTTCTATTCTCCCATGGGTGTGATGCACAGAGACCACGATGAAGATAAACAGGTTGCTCACCTATAACTGATGATCTTCGAGTGGTCATCTGTGCATTCACACTGCCTGTCCTTCCTTCCCCACTACTGTCAGCCTCTCTTTTTCACCTGTATGTTGCAAGAAGATTAAGTGCCGCTGTTTCCCTGTATTTTAGAAGGGCCAACCAGTTGTTTAAGGAAGTCAGAGACAAAAGAGAGATTTAAGCTGGTCAGCTAAATATGAATCACTAAGGTCCAGTCCAGCCAGGAAAATATTTCCATCTTCCTGTAGAATGTGATACTTACAGCTTTCCAGCTGCAACCTACACGTCTGCGTATCCAGAGGATATTTTGACAGGTCCATGTTACACGCAACGGTTGTGGTAATTCTGTGGAAAGAGAAAACACAGCAGAGGCATGCCTTGTGAAGCAACTGCATTCTGCACAGCAATCCCACAGGCGGCAAAGCTTTTCCCTTTGAAAAATAAGCACCGTTAAAGCCTTTGGAACCGCTGTCTGAGCATTCGGTTGATATTTTGGCAACCATCCCTCTGGATAATTCCATTTAGGGGGGGGGGGAAGGATAACGTATGATGTAAACTTATATAATGTAATCTACCATTACATAGTGTAATCTACCCTGAGGTCATTTGGGAGCTGTGGTGGCTCAGTGGTTAACTTTGGTGTGTCCCCCGTGTTAATTTTTGTATTTCAATTTATTCTATTTTTTTTTAACATTTATTTTCTTTTTATTTAAAACACTTGTATCCCACCTTTCCCGTGAGACTCAAAGCAGCTTACGTAGGCAACGGCAGGTGACAACAAAGAAATAAAATGGTGTACAGAAATTGCCACACAAAACCAAATCACAGTAAAACTTTCCCCAACAATGGCCTTGCCCTCCACACCATGCTCTCTGAAAGAGAACATTCTTGCTTGCCTTTTGTAAAGGAAGAAGCGAAGGTGCCTTCCATACCCGTTCTAGTAAACCATCCCATCAATCCAGACCCACTACAGAAAACACCTTTGTAATGGCAGTCACCTGCTGCCAGGGAGGGGCGCTGTGAGGAAAAAGTCCTCCGAAGACCATAATTGGCATATGGGAATAGATCGTGCCATTGAATTCTTAACAGTTGGAGTGCCCCAAGGGGCAGTGCTATCCCCAATGTTATTCAACATCTACATGCGCCCCCTTGTCCAGCCCGGTACCTGGTCTACCGCTGACAGCCCGAGCCCACCTCTCAGATATGAGATTACCAACGAGCTGAACACACAGACTATCTATACAAAGTATAGTAAAGGTAAAGGTTCCTTTGCTCGAAAGCCAGTCGAATCCGACTCTAGGGTTGCGGTGCTCATCTCAGCACTGTCCGAAGACGTTTCCGTGGTCATGTGGCCGGCATGACTAAACACCAAGGTGCACGGAACGCTGTTACCTTCCCACCAAAGTGGTACCTATTTATCTACTTGCAATTTCTTGCTTTCGAAGTGCTAGGTTGGCAGGAGCTGGAACTAGAGACGGGAGCTCACTCCATCATGCGGCACCCGGGTCTCGAACTGCTGAACTACCGACCTTCCACAGCCTGCAGTTCAGCGTCTTAACCACTTGAGCCACCGCAGCTATACAATGTATAGCGCCATCTATATGACAGGGAAACACCACTGCTAGCACTTTATATTGCTATAGTATGATTTTCATGAATTGTTTTAGAGGTTTTGTGATATTTGAATGTTGTTATGTTTTATTGTTGTAAGCTGCCCTGAGCCCGCTTAGGCAGGGAGGGCGGGGTACAGATTTGAATAAATAAATAAGCAACATGCTACGAAACCTAAAGGCCTGATTGTTGTTAGACTTGTCACTGGCAGACTAAATGTCTGCTGCTCATTTGCCCACTGAGCAGCACAGCTTATAAGTAACATGTCTACTGTTATGGCATAAGAGCCCATCAGTCTAATTTTAGAAATGGTCATCTGACTTCCTCCCCAGAGGTCAAAGGGAGGTGGGGTTGCCAGACTCCAAGTGGTGGCTAGGGATCTCCTGGGATTGCAACTGATCTCTAGGTGACAGAGATCAGTTCACCTGGAGAAAATGGCTGCTTTTGAGGCTGGGCTCTTTGGCATTATACCCCTTTGAAGTCCCTCCCTTGCCCAAACCCCACCCTCCTCAGTCTCCACCCCAAAAATCTCCAGGGTACTTTCCTACCTGGAGCTGGCCGGCCTAGAAGAAACTGTCTTGGGGAGGGGCACAGCTCAGTGGTAGGAGAACACATGAGTGACATGAAGAAGATCCCAGGTTTGGATCCCTGGCATCTGTGGCTGAAGGATCCTAACTCCTGCTACCTGTTACAAAAGACCCTTCCCCTGAGATCCCAGGGAGCTGCTGCCGGCCAGAGTAGGCAAGAGCCAGAGTAGACAAGACCACAGGTTTGTTGGCATAAGGTGGCTTCACATACTCATGGGACATGTGTCAAAGCCATACGAATCTCTCCGTCTCCAGCGAGGCGAGATATAGTGATCAAACCTAGCTCTGCCTGCAGTCACCTTAAAAAGCCGAAAGCAAGCTCACAAAAATGGATAAAAATGGGGCCAGGCTTTGCAAACAATATGAAGGCAGTGTGTTCTGTTACCACGGATATTTTCCCCACATTTCATTGTTTTGGACAATATATTGCCAGTTTCCACGTTGACCTGTTTAAAATGTTCTCAAGGAGTCAACAGGACTAAGAATTACAGAACAACATCCATATATACAAGAAGATTAAGTGCCGCTGTTTCCCTGTATTTTAGAAGGGCCAACCAGTTGTTTTAGGAAGTCAGAGACAAAAGAGAGATTTAAGCTGGTCAGCTAAATATGAATCACTAAGGTCCAGTCCAGCCAGGAAAATATTTCCATCTTCCTGTAGAATGTGATACTTACAGCTTTCCAGCTGCAACCTACACGTCTGCGTATCCAGAGGATATTTTGACAGGTCCATGTTACACGCAACGGTTGTGGTAATTCTGTGGAAAGAGAAAACACAGCAGAGGCATGCCTTGTGAAGCAACTGCATTCTGCACAGCAATCCCACAGGCGGCAAAGCTTTTCCCTTTGAAAAATAAGCACCGTTAAAGCCTTTGGAACCGCTGTCTGAGCATTCGGTTGATATTTTGGCAACCATCCCTCTGGATAATTCCATTTAGGGGGGGGGGGAAGGATAACGTATGATGTAAACTTATATAATGTAATCTACCATTACATAGTGTAATCTACCCTGAGGTCATTTGGGAGCTGTGGTGGCTCAGTGGTTAAGACGCTGAACTGCAGGCTGGAAGGTCAGTAGTTCAGCAGTTCGAGACCCGAGTGCCACATGACGGAGTGAGCTCCCGTCTCTGGTTATAGCTCCTGCCA